GTGAACTTGCCCTGCAATTCCATCACGCGCCTTCGGACCCGGGCGAGACGAGGGCCAGCAGGGGATATAACATCATGCGGATTTTGCACAAGATCTCGAAGAAGTGGGCACCGCTCCAAGCACCGGGAGACCCGCTCAGGGTGGCCCGCCTCCGATGCCCTCAAAAAATTCATCGCGACACCAATGCGATCCTCAAGAGTATCAACAGGAGGAGCTCCGCCAAGTTGAGAGGACAAAGCTTTCTCGGCCTGCCGCATGGCCCGTTTGAGTAGCTGCAGCGCAACGATGCCCGAGGCGCCGGCGTGGTCCCGGAGGAGATCCTGCCAGGCGAGTGCCACCTGCCGAGGCCAGTCGGGATGATCCAGGACCTGGTCGCCAATGGGGCGGTCCGCGTCTCCGCTGGCAATCTCGAGGCACTTCCGAAAGCTGACTGGGCGATGGCGCGAAAGTTCTGGGTGCCAGTTGAGGGCGGTGCAACAGAAAGCCTTGTCTAAATATTCGACGTCGTACTGGTTGCTATATATCCGATCGATGCGGGAGCGCGAGTCTGGGGACGCATACGTGTGCTCTGGTCGGTACAACTCGTGGAGCCCCAATGGGGTTTCGAGCACATTGCGCCAAGAACAAGAATCTCTGCAATCCCGGCCGCCCGCGTTGGAGGCAGTCGAGGGGCAGACCCGGTCAGCAGAGTGCACCACGTAATTGAAGTCCCCGCTGATGATGGTCATCACCTAGTCCCGGGGCTTTATATGCCGAGCCAGCCGACGGCGGAGCGCCCCCCGGAGTTCATAATCAGAGGCAGCACGAGCCTCTGGATCGAAGCCCGCCTCGGCCAGGTCCTCGGCGGGACTAGAGTTGCCAGTGCGGAAGTAAACTGAAAAGATATCCAAGGAGCCATGCTCCCCCACCAGATGCAGCACAGCCGCTCGCCCAAGAAAGATAACCTCAAAATGCACTTTATGGCCGAAGAGTTTCAGGAAGTCGTCCTTCACCGTGATTCCGACCCCTGCAACCGCTGGCGTCGGGCCTGGGGACCGCCAGGAGGAGCACCGGGGGGGGGGCTTCTCCATAACTTGCACCTGTCATTTGTACCATGGGACTCGGACCAGCAGCCAATGTCATGGGACGCCATAAGCTGATGCACAAACTTTGTCTTGTCCCGGTGTCGAGCCGGATCCAAAGCGAAGAGCGCCTGGGTATTCCAAGAGACCAGGGAGAGCTTGCCAGCATACTGGCCAGGGGCACGCAGCACGCAGGGCTGGGAGTCTCAAGCGGGGCACGCCCCCGCCTCCACCCAAGACAGGACTGCCCATGGGCCCATCATCCCGAAGACCTGCTTGCCGCCCATCGCTCTGAGAGGAGGCGCCCACCGCGCGCAGAAGAGCCTGCCGGCGAAGAATATGAACCGGCACATCGTGTCTGCGATAAACACCTGCATCATCGCGAGGAGCATCTGGGAGCAGATGGAGTGGAAGAACGGGCACAGAAGGTCGGAGTCGAGGTAGAGTGCATGGATACCACCGCATTGAAGAAGAGGATCTGGAGGAAGATGAATTCGTAGTGCCGACGCCCCTGCCATTATTGTCCACGGAGTCCTGAAGCAAAGCGCTCGGCTGACCGAGGGGGCAGCGGGGCGAGATGTCGAGGTCCAACAGCCAATGGGTAGAGCCATCCAGTTGCAAAAACTTGAATTCCAAAACGCATGCAATAGCGATCCGCCGCCGTCCCGGGCGCCCGTGGATCGCTCAGGGCACCCGGCCCCCGTTTCCCGCCAGGGGGCGTGCATCCATCAGGTCGCTGTGCACCGTGATCGACAACCAATCGCTCCCAACCTGGAACACTTGGCCATGAAGGGCAGCGTGGACTTTGGCGACTTCTTCCTGAAGACCCAAACTGAGGCGAGCTCGCCAGGAGGGGCTGCAGGATCATGGGAGGCGAGGTGCTTCCAGAAACCGGTGCGCACGTTGGAGTGCTCGTCATAGGCAGCCAGCGTGATGCCGGTGCTGCCGCAGACGTGGGCCATAATCTTGTCGAAGATGAGCTTGTCATGGAGCCCAGGCTCGCCGTTGATCCTGACCTCCGTCGCGAAGTCCATCAGCTGGGGCGCGCGTCCGGCCTTGCCCCGGCGGCGCCGAGCAGCCGCCATGGCACTGGCAGTGGCAGAGGGTAGAGCAAACGGGCGCCCGCCGAAACGGCTTGCTTTGTATCGGAGTTTCGTGATGATGGTAAGCTCCCCATCCCGACATAATGGGTCCATCAGCTCTACCCAGGTGTCGGCCGTCGCCTCGGTCCGGGCCAACACCTTTTCCGACGAAAGGAACAGAGCTTCAGTGCACAACGGGCCGGCCTTGGTCATCACCGCCGGCGAGAAGCATTCGAGGATCAAGGCGTCGTCCGCGACGTAGAGATCCCTGTTCCCGATGAGCATCTCGGGGGTGAGCACCAGCCGTTTTATCTTCCTGACCATGATCTCCGTCCCAACTGGGGAGAGGCCATGCGGGAGGAACACCTCGACCGACGTCCTGGGGAGCTCCACGGTGCTTCCAACGCTCTGGGTAGGGTCCCGGAGCTGCAAGTCGCGGAATTCCGTCGTGGCCAGCTTGCCCATGAGGGTCGGGATCAGGTCCGTCCGCGTGTCGACGATGATGCTGGCGGAGCTGGGAACATGGAGCAGAGACGTGCGAGGGAGGACGATCGTGGGGGGGGTCCGCGGACCCGAGCGTGCAATGCGAAAACACGCAAGCCCTCGACGTACATGACGTGGTCCTCGAAGCCCCGGGAGTACGTATTCCATCGGCTGCAGAAGTAGGCTGACGTTTTTGACAATGTTCTTGACCGCGTGCTTATCCCCGAGGAGGGCGTGACCCCACAGGTCCAGGAACTGCGTCACCGAGGCTACCCCAGGGAAGAAAGGTAGGGGCACGAGGAAGATCAGCGAGGACGGAGCTTCTTCAGGGTCCCTGCGTAGGAAGCTGGACAGGATCCTGTTGAGCGCTCCGTTGTCGGAGGGCGCCCACGCCGTCACCTGCTGACCCTTCACCTCCCCCAAGAACTTCTCGTCGCCCTTCTCCAGCATGTCGGAGAGCTGCCGGTGCCCAGCGACCGTCGCCGCGTGCTGGCCCATGGGGTCCAGAACCTGAGACCACTGGGTCACGAACAGGTTGCCGCTGGCCTCCGGGGTGGCCCTCACCGCGTTGAAGGCGTCGCCGCCCAACTCTTTCCACCGAGGGAGTCGATCCGGATGGAACTGCCTGCGAGCCCGGCGAATGTCCGACAGGCCGTCCTCGCAGCGGGCGGCCGCATCCGCTATCTTAGCCTGAGCCTGCATGGCTTGGGTTCGATCGTACTCGTCCCAAGGAGTACCCTCCCCCAGGCTGAGAAGAGTCTTGGCCAGGCGGGCCCGAGAGAGTATGTCCATCTCGGAGGGCTCGGGGCCGTTGAGGGGGCCGAAGCCGAGCACCGCCCACGGATCCTGCGCATCGAGCTGGTAGGCCATCTTGCTGAGGATGCCCTTCATGTCCAGCCACGTACCCGGAAGGGTGACCCCAGCGCGAAACTGTGGTCGGGCTGCCGCTGCTCCGGCCTGGATGAGCTCAAGGTGACGAAGCGCTCCAGCCTCTAGGAGCTCCTGGAAGTCTGTCAGTGAGACCTGCGGCGCTGAACGCCCAGAATGGTCGACGTCCATGCCAGCGAACGCCTCGTCGTTGTTCCCGATCGTCACGAAGCCCAGCCCCTGCGTCAGCCCGGTGTTGTCGTCCAGACTCCCTGGCGGGACGTGGGCCGGTTCAGACGGCGAGGATGCCCCAGCAGAGCCATGCACTGGAGCGGATGGCCCCAGCGGCAGCGCGGCGGCCATGGCTGCAGCCGAGCGGGGAGCCTGCGAGGTGGCCCGCTGGTCTGCCGCGGCACTGTGGTCGGCCGTGCTGCTTTGGTTCCGTGCTGGTCTGCCAGCTTCTGGCCGCAGAACACCTCCCGGAAGGCTTCGCTCAAGCCTTCCGGGAGGTGTTCTGCGTCTTCGGGGAAGGCTCAGACAGCTTGTCATGAGGCGCCCTCGCCGAGGCCCTCGAGGCCGGCGAGGCCTCTCGGTGGTGCGCTCTTGGGCGGTTCCTTGGGCGGTTCCTTGGCCGCTCTCGAGGCCGCCGAGGCCTCTCGGAGGCCACTCGGAGGCCCCTCGACGAGGCCCCTCGACGAGGCCTCTCGAGGCCTCTCGGAGGCACGGCTCTCGGACGGTGCCTGGGGCGAGAGGGGGGGGGGGGGGCGTCTGGCGGCCCGAGGAGCGGGGGGACGCGGCTCGGGGCTGGCCAGGGCAGAACCCGGCAGGGGTCACGAGGGCCCTCGCGCCGATGGCCTCGCGCCGGAGGTCGAGGGTCAAGAGGCGCGGGTCGAGGGTCAGAAGACGAGGGGACAGAAGGGTCGAGGATCGAGGATAGAGAGTCGAACGTCGAGGGGTCGAGGGTCAAAAGTCGAGGGGTCGAGGGATTTTGCGCCGAGGGCCTCGGCGCGCTGAGGCTTTCGCGCCCAGGGCTCAAGAGGGTCGAGCATCGGGGGGGACCTTGCCCCGAGGCTTTCGGCGCGGAGGTGTTCTCGCGCCGAGTATCAAAGACGTCGAGGATCGAGGGACTTCGCGCCAAGGATCGAGAGTTCGAGGGTCGAGGATGGAGGCTTCTCCTCGTGGGCTCCTCTCGATACTCAATCTGAGGGTCTGCCGAAACTTCCCGGGACCTTGCAAAAAAAGACATCCTGGGGTCGCCCCCGCCGCCGCCGCTGCCCCGTCCCGGCGCCCGTCCCGGTCTGTGCTTCGAGCTGCGCCCAGCCATTGCGACGAGAGCTTCCAGCCACGCTTTACCGAAACGACAATCGCCTTCCAGACATCTCCGAAATGACGACCGTCGACTTCGTCGTCGTCGTCCTCCTCCTCCTCCTCCTCCACCACCCCGGCGTCTACCTCCTCCTTCCCTCATCATCCTTCTCCTCGTCGGCGTCGGCCGCATCTGGGTCGCCTCGCAGCCCGAATAGCAGACGTTCTCCGGACGGAGCTGCGGGGCGCGCGCCAGGTCTCTCACTTTCTCTCTCTCTCTCTCTCTCTCTCTTTCTCTCTTTCTCTCACTCGCTCTCTCTCTCTCTCTCTTTCTCTCTCTCTCTCTCTGTCTCTCTGCCTCTCTCTCTCTTGTTTTCTGCCCCAATGGTCGTCGAGGACCTGATGACTTCTGCTGCCCCTCGGCCCGCGGCTGTCCGGATGTTACCTGGGCGATTGGGTTTAACCACCTTGACTCGATCTGTCTGGCTTTCCCCGCGAGCCGACGGAAGAAGAGCCGTCGGGCCCTCCGGGACCACCCCCTCGGCGAGCACCGAGGGGCGAGGCCTGAGACCGAAGGAGAGCGGACGTAGGTGGAGATGGCCAAATGCCATGGAAGACGCTCAGCGCCTTGCCTTCTGGCTCCCGAGGGGACGCGAGAGCTCATGGGAGGGACGCATCTTCTGAAGCGGCGCGGCGTCGAAGCACCCATCCAGAGCGGCAGGTTTTTTCTAGTTTGGGATATGTCGCGGAGGACGCTGGTGGGAAGAGAGCGTGTGAAGAGGCTGAGCTGACTGGCAGAGAAGATGTGGGGGTCGAAAGTCATCTGATTATCGCCAGCGCCATCCGCAGTACTGGCAGCGTGCCGGATGACCCATGCGTGCCAGTGGGCGATCGTGAGGTGGGAGAGAGCGTGATCCACCGCCGCTTTACTGTGGAAAATTGCCGCCCTTTTCCTCCGGAACCCGGGGATCCCCCCCCCCTCCGAAAATCCCCCCCCCCTTGCTGGACCCCCCCCCTCCCCCCCCCCCCAAAACCCCCCCTCCCCTAACCCCTCCCCCCCCCCCCGAACTCGAAAAGCGGGGGGGGTCACTACCGGTTCGAACCCCCCCCCTCTCGAAAACCGGAGGGGGGGGTCACTACCGGTTCGAACCACTGACCTGTCCCACTGTTCCCACCACTGTCCCCACTGTCCCCACCACTGTCTCCACTGTACCTCTGTCCCATTGTCCCACCGCCGTCCACGCCACCGCCTTCACCACTGTCCCCACCACTACTGTACCCTCCACTGTCCTACTGTTTCCACCACATTCCCACTGTCCCCACACCACTGTCCCCACCACCACCGTCCCCACCACTGTCCCACTGTCCCCACTGTTCCCGCCATTGTCCTCACCATTGTCCCCACCACTACCATCCCCACCACTGTCCCACTGTCCCCACCACTGTCCCGCTGTCCCCGCACCACTGTCCCCACCACCACCGTCCCCACCACTGTCCGCACCCCCCCTCGGTTTTCGAGGGGGGGGGGGTTCGAACCATTAGTGACCCCCCCCGGTTTTCGAGTTCGAGGGGGGGGGGGGGGTTCGAACCGGTAGTGACCCCCCCCCCTTTTCGTGGTGAACTGGGGGGGGGGAGGGGTTCGAACCTGTAGTGCCCCCCCCCAGTTTTCCGAAGGGGGGGGGGGAGGGGTTCGAACCGGCAGTGACCCCCCCCGGTTTTCCGCCAGCAGCGGTAGAACACGCTCTTTCCGAGGTGGACGACGACGGGACAGGCGGCGTCAAGCAGGGCGGCCACGCGGCTGGCAAGAGCGAGGTGAGCGGCCGTCGAAGCTGAAGAAGCGACCGTCTCGGTCGCCGCGTTTGCGACAACCCTCTGTTTGGGCGGGGGGGCGTCGGCGGGGACAGAGGCACTATCAGACCGTGGCCAGTTCTTGGCCTTCGTTCTGTACAGGGGTGCAGAGGCTGGGGATCATTCGCTGGCGCATGCGGCGGAACGGCAGTACACAGGGCCTCCAGAGGCCTCCAGGGGCCTCTGGCGGGCGAAAAGCTCCCCAACACCTCTAACCTCCTTCATCCCCGATCCTTGATCCTCGTCGACCCTCTTCGATCCTCGATCCTCGTCGATCTTCGATCCTCCTCGATCCTGCGCGACACACCTCGATCCTCAGTCATCCTCGACCCTCCTCGATCCTCAGCGCTCCTCGACACTCCTATCCCCCGCGACTCTCCTCGATCCGACACTCCTCGATCCTCGATCCTCCTCGGCACTCCTCGACCCTCCTTCCTGCTCGATCCACGATCCTCCGCGAGAGGGAGGTGTGCGGTGCCTTTGCCTCCTCGCCCGCAGCGGCCTTCTTGGGGACCTGGGCTTTCTTGGCTACATCGTCCGGTTCGCCTGCGGGCGCCGCAGCGGGGGAGCTGCCAGGGAGGAGGAGGAGGAGGAGGAGGAGGTGGAGGAGCAGGAGGAGGAGGAGGAGGAGGAGGGGGAGGGGGAGGGGGAGGAGGAGGAGGAGGAGGAGGAGGAGGAGGAGGAGGAGGAGGAGGAGGAGGAGGAGGAGGAGGAGGAGGAGGAGGAGGAGGAGGAGTCCCAGGGGGCGGTTCCTCCCTTTGCACGACGTGTCCGGAGTTCTGTACCGGTACATCCGCCACCGTGCCGCCGGGCACGTACAGCACTGCCACTACTCATACACGAAATTCGCGGCGCGCGTGGGCGAGGACAGCATTGCGCCCGCTCTCGTACGGCCTCGCTGCCGCTGCCGTTTCCACGCGATTCGGCGAACGCGGGACTCAAGATGGCCCAAGAGGCCCCCAAGACGCCCCAGGAGGCCTCCAAGAGGCCTCACAAGAGGGCCTCAAGAGGCAGGAAGTCCTTGATTTGTCCTGCAGTTTTTGACGGATTTGGGTGTTCTCGCCTTTTCAGCTTTCCGACATTCCAAGATGGCAGGACGGCCCAATGGGCCCCCAAGACCACCACAAAACGACCCAAGAGGCCTCCAAGAGGGCCCCACGACGGCCTAAAAGCGCCCCAAGACGGCCCAAGAGGGCCCTAAGACGGCCCCAAAAGGAGCCCAACAGAGGGAGCACGAACCGAAAGTCCGAGCCTTCCGCCTCAAGAGGCCCCCAGGAGGCTCCAAGAGGCGCCCAGGAGGCCCCAAGAGACCCCCAGGAGGCCCCCAAGAGGCCCCCAAGAGGTCCCCAAGAGGCCCCAAGGGGCCCCAAAATGGCCTCCAAGAGGCCCCCAGACAGCCTCCAGGATGCCCCCGAGAGGCCCCTACGAGATTCCAACGAACATCCATTAGACTTCGTAGCCACAACCTAGGCGCGTTGGCGTAATGGGCCGAAAGCTATTCGATAATCCCATTCCTCCACCTAGCTGGCCGATTGCAAACCCATCTGGGGGGTCCCATCCGACCTACCAGAAAACAATCCAACGTCACGGTGTTTCGTCTCAACATGGGCGTTACGTCGTCCATGTTGCAAAATGCATGGCGATAGTGGGACGGGGCGCTGTCCCGCCCGAGAGGCCGAAATGTCGCTCTCGCCTCGGCGCCGCGCCCACTTGTCTGGAGAATGGAGCTCCCGCTAGGGCGCGGCACAGATTTCCCGCACGCCACCTCGTCGACGCGCGAGCGGGCGGAGGGCGCCGGGCAGAGTTCGCCCGAAAGGGGCGTTCCCGCCTCGACGCGGCGCAGACCTAACACTCGCCAATTTGGAAGGGGCTGCGCGGGTGGGCGACGTGTCGCCCTCGCCCACAGCCCCCTGAACATTTCGCTCCCAAGTGGTGTCCTGCGGGGCGCGACACATTGCTCGTTCGCCGAATTGCGCGAGAGCGACAGCGGCAGCTGGACCGCGCGTGAGCGGGCGAAGTGCCGACATCGCCAAAGCGCCGCCAAACTTGCGAGCGAAAGGGGCAGTGCTGTGTCAGCACGGCGCATGCTGCGTCATCGGACATGTTACCGCTCCCGCCCCTGCGCGGCACGCGTGGCTATCCCTCCGCAAAGTCGTCGGAAACGGGGCCGCGCGCGAGCGCCTTCCACTTTCGACGCGAGGTGGGGACGCGTTCCGATCCCAGTATCAACCTGTGCCACCATTGATTCGTATAGTGAGGGAGGGAGCCCTTTGACCCGCTCGACCTTGCTACCTTGATCCCCCCTTTTCCTCCTCCTCCTCCTCCTCCTCCTCCTCCTCCTCCTCCTCCTCCTCCTCCTCCTCCTCCTCCTCCTCCCCGCGAACCCACAACTTCCTCCTCCTCCTCCTCCTCCTCCTCCTCCTCCTCCTCCTCCTCCTCCTCCTCCTGGGGGGTCACTACGGGTTCGAACCCCTCCCCCCCCTCCAGAAAACTGGGGGGGGTCACTATCGGTTCGAACCCCCCTCCAGAAAACCGGGGGGGGGTCACTACCCGCTCGAACCCTTCCCCCCCCACCCCCCCACGCTCACCGCCAGCAAACGACCCCCGGGTCCCTACCACCGTCCGCACCACGTCCCCCACTGCTGTCCCCAACACCACTGTCCTCTCCACCACTGTCCCCACTGTTCCCACCACCGTCCCCAGTGTCGCCACCAGTGCCCCCACCACCACTGTCGCACTGTCCCCCCTGTCCCCACCACTGCTCCCACCACCGTTCCACTCTCCCCACTTTCTCCACGGCCCCAACCACTGTTCCATTGTCCCCACTGCCCCACTGTCCCACTGTCCCCGCCGCTGTCCCACTGAGCTGTCCCACTGTTCCCACCACTGTCGCCACTGTCCCCACCACTGTCCCCGCGTACCTCTGTCCCACTGTCCCAGCGCCGTCCTCGCCACCGCCCTCACCAGTGTCCCCACCACTACTGTACCCTCCACTGTCCCACTCTTTCCACCACATTCCCACTGTCCCCACACCTCTGTCCCCACCACCACCGTCCCCACCACTGTCCCACTGTCCCCACTGTTCCCGCCATTGTCCCCGCTGTCCCCACCAGTGCCCCCACCAGTGTCTCACTGTCCCCACTCTCCCCACCATTGTTCCACCACGGTCCCACTCTCCCCACTTCCCCCACGGTCCCCACCACTGTCCCACTGTCCCCAGTGCACCCACCACTGTCCCATTCCCCGCCGCTGTCCCACTGTGCTGTCCCACCGTCCCCACTGTCCACATCACTGTCCCACTGTCCCCACTGTCCCCACCAGTTTCCCCACTGTACTACTGTCCCACCACTGTCCTCACCACCGCCTTCACCACTGACCCCACAACTACCGTCCCCATCACTGTCCCACTGTCCCCACCGCTGTCCCGCTGTTCCCTCACCACTGTCCCCACCACCACCGTCCCCACCACTGTCCCCACACCACTGTCCCACTGTCCCCGCACCACTGTCCCCACCACCACCAGTCCCACCACTGTCCCAGCACCCCCGCCATTATCCAACTGTCCCGAGGAGCGGGGATCGTTTGCCGGCGGCGAGAAAGGGGGGAGGGGGGAGAGGGGGGTTCGAACTGGTAGTGTCCCCCCTCGTTTTTTTTTTTTTTTTTTTTTTTTTTTTTTTAAAAAAAAAAAAAAAAAAAAAAAAAAAAAAAAAAAAAAAAAAAAAAAAAAAAAAAAAAAAAAAAAAAAAAAAAAAAAAAAAAAAAAAAAAAAAAGGGGGGGGATTCGAACTGGCAGTGACCCCCCCTTTTCATGATGGACTGGGGGGGGGATTCGAACCGGTAGTGGTCCCCCCTAGTTTTCGAAGGGGCGGGCTGGGAACCCCCAGTGACCACCCCATCGGTTTTCCGCCAGCGCCGGTAGAATACACTCTTTCTTAGATTGAGCCTATGAGGGGGAGGGGGGGGGCTGAAAATCCCCCCCCCCCTTAGTTTTGAGCCACGGGCCTAAGACGGCCCCAAGAAGCCTCCCTGACCCCCCCAAAGAGCCCCAAGAGGGCTCCAAGAGGGCTCCCAAGCCCCCAAAAGAGCCCCAGGAGGGCCCCAAGAGTGCCCTAAGTGGCTGGGCGAGGACCCCCAGAAAGACCCAAGACTGCTCCAAGAAACCTCCGAGAAAACAACTCCCAGGCGGTTGTTACGCTGCATGCTTCTACATTTCCCTGATCAAGGCAACTCGCCTGGCGATCGGTTTCTGGATGGACTGGTGGGGATATGTTTTTTTGGTTCGCGAGCGCGCAGGGGTGCCAGGCGCCGTCCAGAAACGCGGCTAACAAGCAACGGCTACAATTCCGCACGAGAACGCACAGGAGCGGGCTACGCTGAGGCTCAGGAAACGCGGTGAACCAGGAAGAGCCACTGGTCGAAGTGCAGCGCCCAAGTGGCGAAGTGCATGAAGTCCACGTACTCGACGACCACCGTGACGCAGCCGAAAAGAAAGATGAACAGCGACATGCAGGCGCTCAACAGAGAAGGCTCCGGATCGCCAAGCACCGACAAGGGTCGGAGCAGGGGCGTGGAAGCGGCGGTCGCGCCACCACGAGCGGGGGGACAGGGAGAAGGCAACGCCAGGACGGCCCAGGGGCAGCAGAGGCGGGGGACCAGCGGAAGAAGGCCGCACCCCTGCGCTGGAGGCGGCGAGAGCCAATGCCAGGGACAATAGCCGACCGTGGGGGAGGCGACGTGGGGGAGGACCGGGAGTCCGTCAACCCCGGGCGTGCAGAGGCAACGGACTCAAAGCGAGCCGCAGGCCCGGGAGCCCTGGGGAACCCCGAAATGGGAGGGGCCAGCAGGACTTGTGGGGATACTTTTCCGTCGCGGCCGCAAGCGGAAGCGCAGGCGGCGTCCGAAGTCAGCCCGGGCTACGCGCCACGCCTAATTACCTAAGCGCGCGAACTAACGGCCGCCGAAACTGCCGCCGAGGGACGCCGAGGACTGACGCCGGGGACTGAGGCAGAGCTGCAAAAGGTGCCAGGTGTGCCAGGCGGCCGAAGTGCAACCGTTCCGGGGGCGAGACTACCGGGAAGGCGAACAAATTGACCTTGTCGCGCCAGGCGCCAGAGGTAAACGAGCCACCCGAGCTAAGCACGGCGTAGCATGGGGCTGAGCAAGCAGCCCACCGCACCTGTGTCGCATGACCTCAGGTGGTTGAGCGAGAAGGCTAAACCACTCATGAGCAATCCACGTGGAGGTGCACCTCACCCTTGCAAGGCGGGAGCACTGGCGGGGATACGTTTTTTGGTCGCGGGCGGACGCGGATTCGCAGTCGCCGAGCTGAGAGGTCCGGGCCACGGGCTTGTCAAATTAGCAACGCGCAAGCCTAAAAGCACAGCGGCCGGGCCCGGAATCAGAACCTACCGCTGGTGGAGCCGCAGGCTGAAGGGGAGCTGGCTGAGCTGACCGCAAAATGCCAGGGTAGCTGATGCACACATGCGAGTGAATTGGCTCCTGCACGCCAGGAGAGGTCGTGACCTGTTCTGTACCAACAGTCCACACGTCCGCCGAGCGGGGCGGTGCCACCAGACGGGCGAACCCGGGAAAGCGGCGTGCAGCCAGGAGAACGGAGCCCGAGAGGTGCGAGCGCACACGAGCTCAAGTGGGTACCGTGGGAGGAGGTCACCCGGTACGCAGACGGACCTTGTCGCCACAGGGCGCCAGGGGTCAAGGCCACAGCTGTGGCGAGGTATGTGCCATGAGGCACTGGTGGGGATACTTTTTATTGGTCGCGGCCACCAGCGAGCGCGCAAGCGGCGAGAGAAGTTGTCCGGGCCGACAGGTGGGGATACTTTTTGATTGGCGGCTCCAAGGAAGAGTCCGAGAAGCGGGGCGGGCGAGTCTGGGGCACAGGGCGAGATAATTGGTTACGAAGGCGCCTAGGCCAACGTAACAGGTGCACCTGCAAGAGGCAAAATGCCCCCCATTAAGCTGCTAACCACCCGCGAACGGGAAAGCAAGCACCAGACTGGAATAGACGGAGAGGAGTCGCACAGTGGCGTCAGCTCAGACCATCCAGTCCACAGAGAACAAGCTGGGGCAGGGCAGCCAAGTGGCAGGACAGTGGGCACGTGAGGCCGCACCGCTCACCACTACGAGGCGAGAGAGGTGGGAAAGCGTGGGCAGAAGAGAGGGATGGCCAGGTAAGCCTCACTCACTTGGACTCCTGTGCGCGATCCGACGTGAGCCACCGACCGATGCATTGACGTCGAAACAGCCGCAGAGTCTGCACCTTGACTGCCTGACCCGGGGCGTCGGGGGAAACGGCAGCAGGTGTGGCCGAGCACCATGGACCAACCCGTAGGAGAGCATGAGTACAGTCAAAGGATGAACCACTTGAGCAGTACCAGGAGCACGATGATGGACTGGTGGGGATACGCGAAGCGTCAAGAATTTGTTCCTCCTCCTCCTCCTCCACCTCCTCCTCCTCCTCCTCCTCCTCCTCCTCCGCCTCTTTCTCCTCCTCCTCCTCCTTGACGCTGCTCAGACTTAGTGAACTAGCACACAGCTTTCAACCTCCTGCTCCTCCTCGTCCTCCTCCTCCTTCTCCTCCTCCTCCTCCTCACCCTCCTCCTCCGACTCCTTCTCCTTCTCCTCCTCCTCACCTTCCGCATCCTCCTCTTCCTCTTCCTCCTCCTCCTCATCCTCCTTCCCTGCCTCGCCTGTCAGCGGCATCTCGCTCACCTTCAGGTCGGCCGCCGCGAGCATGCGCATGTCAGCCGGCACGACGTCACCAACGGACAGCAGAACCATGTCGCCGGGCACGACCGCGGTTGTCTTGACCTCTCAATCGAGGCTCGAGGTTCGAGAATCGAGACTCACGATATGTGAACGACTCTAGCCTTTCTGGGGGGCTCTGGAGGCCACGAAATAAGCCATACAGAGAACCTCGTAGCACATCCAGAGGTGGGTCAGGAGGAGGAAGCGGAGGAGGCAGGAGGCAGGAGGAGAAGGATGAAGGAAGCAGACAGGGCGGAGGCGGAATGAGGAGGGGAGGGGGGAAGGAGAAAAATGGAGGAGGAGAGGGGATGGGGGAGGGAGAAGCGAAGGGAGGCGAGGCATGAGGAGGAAAGAATGAAGGCGGATGGTGAAGGATGGAGGGGGGAGGATCGAAGTTGTGGAAGAGAAAGGAGGACGAGGAAGATACGTAAACCAGACCGGGCAAGAACGGGAGCGTCGATTTTGTTCACTGTGCTCGAAGGCCGGCAGCCACGACGCCCGCGACACCGCGGCGGCCCACGGCCAGAATCTGGAGCGGGAGATGCGCGCTGGCGGGCTCCAACGGTGAGCAGGGAGAAGGAAAGGAAGAGAAGCAAGCTGCCGATCGGCCGCGCAAGCCTGGCCTCTGGCGGCGCACAGAAGCGCGCGCGGGCAGACCGAGTCAGACAGGCGGGAAGACCGCGCGGGAGCAGAATACGTAGGTCTACGGAGCTATGTCAGAAGATGGCGACGACGACGACGACGACGACGACGACGACGACGACGACGACGGCGGCGCCGGCGACGACGGCCACGGCCACGGCCACGGCCACGGCCACGGCCACGGCCACGTCCATGGCCACGGCCCCGGCGACGCGACGACGACGCCAAGGACGAGGAAGAGGACAACTCCCGCTCGTGGAGGGCGCGGGGAAGAGCCTTCTTCTCGGTCCCATCGCGGATGCAGGTAGAGTCCGGGGCGGTCATCTTTGCCAGCTTCTCCAGCGCGTCGTTGGCGGAATTCTCGGTGACGGCCGCGATGCCTTCCGCTGGAGGCCGTCAGAGGTCGCCGAAGGCCGCCGGAGGCCCTCGGTGGCTCTCGGAGGCCCTCGGAGGGCCTCAGAAGCCCATCGGAGGCTCTTGGACGCCCTCGGGCGCCATCGCAGCCTCGGGCGCCTTCGGACGCCCTCGGAGGCCACTGGGGTCCATGTCGTCGTCGTCGTTTCAGGAAGTCCTCGGAGTCCCAAAAACGCCCGAAAACACACTGGTGCGCCGAAAAGGAGGGCCAGGAAGAGGGGGGTTCACGCATCATGGCCCGAGGCATATGCGCGGACGAGGGGAGAGCCAAGGAGCGCCTTGATAGAAGAGAGGGGCATGAAATCTTGGAGTTCCCATAGACACGGCTAACATATCCACACGCGCACACCGCACACACACACACACACCACACACACATACCCTTATCCTTACCCTTGCCATTACCCATAGATTTACCCTTACCCTTACCCTTTCACTTACACTCACACTCACACTTATACTTACGCTTACACTTACACTTGCACTTGCACTTGCACTTGCACTTACACTTACACTTACACTTACATTTACAATTACAATTGACACTTACACTTACGCTTACACTTACACTTACACTTACACTTACACTTACACTTACACTTACACTTACACACACACACACACACATCCGCGCACACACACACACACACACACACACACACACACACACGCACACACACGCGCACGCGCACGCGCACGCACGCACGCACGCACGCTCCCACAAACACACACACACAGACACACTTTTCGGGGGGACGTTGCGGCCTCGCGCGCGTCGAAGCGAAGAAAGTCTGAAACGGAGAACGCGCGCGCGGCCAGTTCACTCAGTAGACGGGGGTCACACGCGCACAAACACAGACAGACAAACAGACAGACGAACGGACAGACAGACAAACAGACAGACGGACGGACAGACAGACAGACAAACAAACATATTCCCTTTTCTATATATATATATATATATATATATATATATATATATATGTGTGTGTGTGTGTGTGTACAATCCGGGGGGATGCCCCGCCACCCCCAAAAAAAACGCAGCCCCCAGATCCGTGGCCCTGGGGGCCCCCTGGACGCCACTGCAGGTCCTCCCGGGCCCGTCTGGGGCTCTTGGAAGCCCCTGCTTGGCTTAGGCAACCGGCCCAAATCGGTCAGGAGGGCGGCCGAACGACACCGCGAGAGCCCCAAGAGGTCCCAGACACCCACCAGACGCCCAAGACGACCCAAAGAAAATCCCCAAGAAACGCTTACAAACATTATCCGAGACCGCCCAGGAGGCTTGAAAATCGTCCCGAAAGTACCGAAAAGGGCTTCCAGTCAGTCCAAAAGAACCCCAAGACGGCCCAACAGGGCCCTAAGGTGGCCCGAAGAAAGCCCCAGGACCCATGACGGCCCAAGATAGCCCCAAGACGCCCCCCGAAGCATTCCAATTGTGACCCCGTCTTTCAGAGAGACCACGGTTGGAAGCAGGGTGGCCCAAGAAAACCACCCAGAAGGCCCCAACACGCCCTAAACTATTTTGTGAAGTCCCAAGAGATCCTCCAAGGAGGAACCAAAGCGAAAAGAGCTGAAGAGGATGGGGAAGAATTCGCAAGGGAGGGTGAAAATGAGGAAGAAGACCAAGAAACATGAGGGACGAAAAGCGAATCCCGCCAGCCCTTCAGGGCGTGAGTGGTTTAGAGCGTTTCCTCTTCCAACACCCCTTCTCCCCATTCGGGGAGGGGTTCATCCCTCCCCCTGCCCCCTACCCCCCTGGACCTAAGCAAGTCGAGCGCAGGCAGTGGAGCGCGCGCGTCTACCCGCGGCCAAGCCCTCAGAGACCGCTTAGGGTCTCGCGGCCGGCCGCAGCCGTAACACACACACAGACAGACACACACTTTTGAGCGTCGCGGCCACGCGCGGAGCGTTCCTGGCGTGGAAAAGGTCGAGGCAGCGCGCGCACTGGCCCAGCCCACGCGGTGGGGAGTCGCCGGATTCACCCCATAGGGGATCAACAGCGACACTCGGGGGGCACACAAACACACACACACACACGCACACACACACGCACACACACGCACACACGCACACGCACCCAACCCACACACACACACACCCACACCCACACACGCACACGCACACGCACACGCACACGCACACACGCACACACGCACACCGCACACACGCACACACACACACTCACACACGCACACACACACACACACGCACGCACGCACGCACGCACGCACACACACACACACACACACACACACACACACACACACACACACACACACACGCACGCACGCACGCACGCACGCACGCACGCACGCACGCACACACACACACACACACACACACACACACACACACGCACACACGCACACACACAGCCGAAACATGGCCACAAGAACGCGGGTCAGGAGCATGACGCATACCTAAAAACCAGGAGCCCTCCAGGGTGGAGAGCCCCGACACGAAGAACATGAGAGTGCCCGTCCAAAGCTAGGCGTGATATCACTGCTCCCTCGTGCAAGCTGCACATGCACACAGCATACACAGTTCCTCTCCAACGCAGTGGTGAGGCAACCTGGTGCGGCGAAGACGGGCCACGTCCTCGGCTAACTGATCAACTGGACTCCAGGTCCTGGAGTGGTAACGGGTGCGGATCTGGAAGACCCTGGAACAGTCTGATTCAGGCCGAACCTCAGATCAGCAAGGACAGCCGCGCGCAGGAAGCACACACACACACAAAAACGCAACAAGCCGAAGCATCTCCGCCGACCCCGGCTTGCCCCGGGTGCGAAGACGTGCGGGACATCTGGGGAGGAGGAGGAGGAGGAGGAGGAGGAGGAGGAGCTTACGGCTGTCCCCCTGCGCCCTCTCCTACCCCCCCAAGGGTCCAGAGCCCCGTTCTAGGAGGGCCCCGGGGAGGGAAGGGTCGACGAACTCTCTGGCGCACCTCCACGGGTCTTCTGGCAGGGCTGAACCTAAACGGTGTTTTTCGTTTTCGTTTTGTTTTCGTTTTCCCTCGTTTTGTCTTCGATTCGCCTTTACCGAAAACCAAGTCGAAACGAAAACGGCCCACGAAATCCTGGGACCCGAGGGTCGACAGAGCTGTCCAAGAGAGCCTCGAGGCGGCCCACCAACGCCCCACGACGGCCCAAAATGAACTAGCAACAGCTCAAAAGGCTCACGGGGCACTCCAAGAGGGCCTAACGAGACTCTCCCAGAGAGCATCCATAAGAAAAATCCTGAATTGTCAGATGTTGTTTATTGAATATTAGCATACTTGCCTCTTCGGGTTTCTGGACGCCTAAGCCAGCCCAGACGGCTTCCAATATCGCCCCAGAACAGCCCACTGAATGCTCCCAAAGGGGGCCATGATGGCCCAAGAGGGCTCCAAGACCACCCCTGCGTCACCCAAGATTGCCAAAGAGGCCCCCCAAGAAGGCTCCACGAAAGGGCCAAGAGGGCTAGCTCGAAAGAACCCTGGGAATTCGTCTCCCCGAACATGGCCTCCGACAGTGCCAGGAAGCATCCAGTGCGCTCCCTAGTGGTCCCCAGAGGCCCCCAACAGGACACATGAAGTCCCCCGGAAGCCCCTAGAGCCTAGAGGCACCAAGGGCTTCCAAACTACATGCGGTCCACAACCCATGCACGGTGGCGGGTTGGGCCGAAGGCCACTAGCAATTGTACACTGGCTCATTGTCATCCGATGGTGGAACCGACTGGGTTCCCTCTGCTCTTAGTTACTCCTCACGCAGCACGGCACTGCTCAAACGTCACCTTCCCTGCCCATGTTACAGCCCTCGTCGACGTCCTCACTTCCGTCGCAAATCAAGGGGTCGGCGAAATGGCGCAAGCCCCTCGAAATGAAAAACAAAGTCGCGCGCGCTCGCGCGGTGCGCTGGCTGGCCGCGCGGGCCTGCGTTCAACAGGACGATGACAAAGATCGCGATGCCCTCGACGTAAGACCTGCGCCAGAGGGGGGGCAGGGAAGAAGACGGCACTGGCGGTGCGCCGAGGGAGGAGTGCGAGAGGGGGCAGGCCTTCCAAGAGGGCGGCGGAGTCTCTCGGAAGCTCCCTGACGCTCTGAGAAGCCCTCTGTGGCTTCTGAGAGGGCCGGGAGAGCTTCTCGAGTGGAGGGCAAGAGAACGGGGACCACGACCAAAACGGAACGTGGGAACGTCGTGTCGATCTTGGTCACAGTCGATCCTTGGTCAGCGTCACGTCGTGGAGCCATCCTCGAGACTCGGCGACGGCCGACATGGACCACATGACTAAGATCGGCACCGACAGAGTCCCGCGACATCTGGGTCCTGTTCCCCTTGCATCTTCCCTCGATCAAAGGACTCTGGCCTTCTAGGAGTCCTCCGAGGCGGCCCGCGCCTTCTGCCTTCCCCCCCCCGGGCGCGCCGCCTAGAGCAGGCGCCGCCCGGCTGCCTCACCGGGAACGCGCGGCGCCGTGTGCCGGGGTCGCACGGCCTGGCTTGCACGGCGCCGTGTGCCGAGGTCGCACGGCCTGGCTCGCGGGCCCCAAGGCGGGCGGCGAAGGACAGCACTCGGGGTGCTCATCCAAGTCGTGCGAGGAGGGATCAATCGGCGAGGTCGGGCGTGGCCCTGGAAACCCGCCTTGCGCGGGTTGTCTTGAGTTTCAGTGCCGCCAGTGATCCTGACCCCTGGCCGTCCCTGCAGGTCCCCCTGAGGCCCCCAGAGGCCTCTGCAGACCCCAGGAGGCCCAAAAATTACACCCCCAAAGCGCAGGAATATTCTCTAAAGACCTCCCCCTCGATCTCAATCTTCCCCACCTTCCCCACCTCCCGCAGGGGTAGGGTTCGGGAGTGGTCGATAGAGGCAGGAAGCACGAACCGAGAGGCCATCCCCCGCAGCGGCACACCGATGTAATAATCATGGGAAGAAGAGAAGAAAAGAGGAGAGGGCAACGAAGTAGGCCGCGTGGAGAGGGACGGAGAGGGTTAAGCGGGAAGGACAAGGAGGAGGAGGAGGAGGAGGAGGAGGAGGAGGAGGAGGAGGGGGAGGGGGAGGGGGAGGAGGAGGAGGAGGAGGAGGAGGAGGAGGAGGAGGAGGAGGAGAAGAAAGAAAGAAGAAGAAGAAGAAGAAGAAGAGGAGGGTGAGGAGGAGGAGGAGAAAAGAGAAGCAACCCCAAGCAGACGGGCGGGACCCGGGGCCAGGAGGAGAGGGGGGCCGCCTGCGAGAAAAAAAAAACGCGCACACCACGACCGCAACTCACGGCCAGACCTGCGCTGGCGACCCTCGAGGCTCCAGGCTCCAAGGGCGCTCTTCGTGGGCCTCTCTCTGGCCTCCGGAAACCCAGGGAAGCGTCCAGAGGCTTCCGCGTGGCAGGCAGCCAGAGAATGGGAGGAGAGGAGAGGGAGGGAGAGGGAGGAAGGAGGACGACGAGAGGGGGAGCAGGGAGGAGAGGGAAGGGGAGGGAGAAAAGGAGGGCGGACGACGAGGATGGAGGGAGGGGCGGAGGAGGAGGACGAGGAGGAGAAGGAGGACGAGGAGGAGGAGGAAGAGGAGAAGGAGGAGGAGCAGGAGTAGCAGCAGGAAGGGGAGAGGGAACGACGACGACGACGACGACGAATGCACATCGGAGGTGTGCGGAGGGCAGAATGCAGCGACGTGCCTAAGGCGCAGCAGTCCAGCCGAAGAATCGGGACAGGCCCAACCCTCACCGAGTGAGGGCTTCGAATTCGTGTCATCAGGATGAGGAGGAGATGGAAGATGGAGGGAATGGAGGGGAGGAGGCAGACAGCAGGAGGCGGAGGAGGACACCGACGAGGAGGGAGGTCAGGGAGGAGATGAGGGAAGAGGTGGAGGAAGAGCAAGAGCAAGAGGGAAGACGAAGCTGAGAAAAAGGAGGGAGGGCGACAGCGAGGAGGGAGGGCAGGGATGTGGGGGGACGAGGAGGAAGAGGAGGTGTTGACGACCAGTAAGAAGAATCCGACGCTGCCTCGCCCTACCCTCTTAAAGAACGATGGCAGGCGGGCGCGCTCTCGCAAGAGGGAAGCCCCGCCTCTACCCCCTGCTCCCGCTGCAGGGACGGGACCGGGGAGGAGGGGGGCGGCGGGGCGTGGAGGAGGGAGACAGAAGGAAGGACGGAAGGAGGAAGGGAGCATCCCGAGCCGCGGGTGCTCTGCGCAACACCCCCTGTGGACATGATGTTCTTGTTGTCGGAGCCAGTGCCGTTCACCTGGCGCGCCCCTTGCAAGCACTGGACCCTCTGAGGCCTCCCAGGGAAACGTCGTCATCCTCATCGCTGTACTCGTCGTCGTGGTCTTTCAAGTCCTCCTGCTCCTCCTGTTCCTCGTCCTACTCGTCGTCCTCGTCCTTCTCCTCCTCCTCCTCCTCCTCCTCCTTCTGCTCCTCCTCCTCATCATCCTCCCCAGAGGCTCGGAGAGCTCCGACTTGGAGATCTGGACCTCTCGCTGAGGCCCTCCCCAAACGTGCTCCAATCCCCCGAAAAGAAAACCAACCAAAAAAACCCTCAGTGGCCTCAAACCAGCGGGCTGGACCATATTCCCGCATGCAAGTGCGCCGCGATGAGAACCATCGCACGCACGGCATGGCCAAGTTGGAGGTGCGGTTCCCGAGAAAGCCGGATGCCCCGTCCCAAATCGCCCGTTCCCGAGAAAGCCGGATGCTCGGGGAACGGTCAAGTTGCCACGCAAGGGACGGTACAAAAAAATTGGCACTCAAACTTGCCACAAAAAAGGAACGCAGCGCGCCGCAAACATTGCTACCAAAAATCTGCTCTGTGTCATTATCCGCCTCCCCGTCCTCCTCCTCCTCCTCCTCCTCCTCCTCCTCCTCCTCCTCCTCCTCCTCCGTATCCTGCTCCCCCCTCTTCGTCGTCCTCATACTCCTCTTTCTCCTGCTTCTCCTCCTCCTCCTCCTCCTCCTCCTCCTCCTCCTCCTCCTCCTCCTCCTCCTTGGTCTCCTCCTCCTCCTCCTGCTCCTCAGCTCACTTCCAGAGCGCGAACTCCTCCGTACAGTGCACGGACCCTGCAGCCGCCGAGACCTCTTCAATCCATTGCCTCGGGTTCATGCATGTTCACCCTATCATGCTTCGATATCCTTTCCCGCCGCCGACGCGCTTCCCATGTCGAGGCGTGCGTTCCTTCCAACGTCGGCCTCCCCTTTCAATCCTCCAGCGACCCGCTGTCCAAGCCAGTTTTGTTTCGTACTGTACGTTGCGTCTTCGCTGGGTGCTGCCATCCAGATAACAGAACACGGAGCCAAGATCTTGAGGCGAGGCGACGCGAGCCCTCCAATCGTGTGTAGATACACACCGAAAGTGGGCATCAAAGCGAACGCTTCGAAAAAGCTCTTCGCCCACGTAGGGGCGAGGCCTCACTCAAGGTGGCGCGGCTTCCCGACCCAGGGCCGGATGATCTTGCCTTGGCGGCGGACATGGCAGGAAGGCGCCGCCCGAAGAAGGCAGAGGGCTTCTTGGAAGGGCCCTTGCCCAGCAAAAAACCGTCAAGAAAAGACTCAGGATGACAAGCCAGGCCAGGGGGACTGGGGCGAGATCTCCGAGGGCTCATGTTGTCGCAACCGACAGAGCAAACGACGACGTCGGGGGGTCTGGGTAGGAAAGGGAGGGTGGGTGCTCTGAGGGTCATCGCTTCTCCTCCGGCTGGCGGAACGCCCGACCCCCCCTGGTCACAATAAACGAGGCGACGGCAGCGAAGATCAGAAGCATGATGATGAGGTTGGTCAGCTGCACGATGAACAGCATCAGCAGGGTCGGCTTTGGGGGTTGCCTCCAGGTGTGGCCGATGGGACAGCCGTGCCGTGACACGGCCCTCGCCTTCTTCCCTGCACTCATACAGGACGGTCACACGTGCCCCCTGCTCCCTCCGACTGCCGATCTCACATCGCGACTCCAGATCTGAGGGCCCCCTGGGGTTCCCCGAGGCTCCCGGAGGTCCCCTGGAGCTGAGGTAAGGAGTAAGGAAAAGGGAGCATGTTGAAGAGGAAGGAGGGAGGGAGGGGGGGAGGGAGGAGGAGAGAGGTGGAAAGGAGGGAGGAGGGATGAGACGGGGGTAGAGTGAGGAGGGAGGAGGATGAGGAGACCCGACCTCCATTCTGGAGGCTTGTTTCCTCTTCTGTGGCAACTCATGGGGGCCTCCCATGCCATCTTGCTGACGCGACTGGGCCTGGGTTCCAGGGTCGAACAACGACCCCAATGCAGTCAGGCTGCCTTCTAACCCACAGGAAGAGGTACAACGGACGAGAAAGAGAAGGAGAAGGAGGAGGAGGAGGAGGAGGAGGAGAGGAGCCCAGGGTCAAATTTTCAAGGGGAGAATAAAAGGAAAAGGAGGAGGAGGAGGAGGAGGAGAGGAGGAGAAGAAAACAAGAGGAGGAAGAGAAGGAGTATGAGGAGAGGAGGAGCTTAGGAGGACGAGGAGGAGGAGGAGGAGGAGGAGGAGGAGGAGGAGGAGGAGGAGGAGGAGGAGGAGGGGAGATAATGAGGGGGAGGGGGAGGGGGAGGAGGAGGAGGAGGAGGAGGAGGAGGAGGAGGAGGAGGAGGAGGGGAGGAGGAGGAGGAGGAGGAGGAGGAGGAGGAGGAGGAGGGAAGGCATTCTGGCCCTCAGAGGTCTGGGGCCAGATCGATCGGCTCGGATCGGGCAATCGGCGCCGCCGCCCGGTCTAGCTCGCGGTCAGGCCGACCTCGGGGCCGGGCCCCAAGCGCGCCGCGCGGCGCCCTCTCGGAGGCCACCGTCGCCTCCCTGTCTCCGAGAGGGCCGCGATTCGCGGCCGCGCGCCTCGCGGCGCCCCCCTGGCAACGCCGGCCGACGGAGGCTGGCACAGGCGGGAGCGCTCCCGCCGCAGCGCTGCCAGGACACTACTGCGGGTCCTGGACGCGGCACGGCTGCTGGGGAGTCACCACTCGGCTCAGCACTCGACCGAGGTGATGGCGCTGCCGAAGCACAAGTGGCAGTGCGGCGGCTGTGGGGCACCCGTCCCCAACAGCATGTGGCACTGCAGATGTGGATTCAAGTGGAGACCGCAGAGGACAGCCACAGGCCAAGCCCCAGCTGCAGGTCGTCAGGCCTCAGGCGGCAAGACAGGCAAGAAGCAGAAAGTGCAGCAGGTGTTCAGCCAGGAGCACGCTGCCATCTTCAAAGACGTGGGCTTCCTGACACTGGATGAGGCGCGAAGCTTCAAGGAGTGGAGGGAGCCGCCTGCGCCTGAGCAAGCCGCGCTGAGGGCGCCATTCAAGGCAGCACTGATTGCCAGGGCGAAGCGGCTGCTGGACGTGGTGCAGGCCAACAGGCGGGCGCAGAAGGAGTCAGCACTTGAAGAACAGGAACTCAGCATGCTGAAGACGGCACTACTCATGCTGAAGCCCAAGGGAGTGCAGCTGCCTGAGCTGACCAAGCTGCGCTTCGACATGAACACAGAGTTGAACGCGATCCACGTGCAGCAGAAGCAGCTCCACCAGAGAGCGATGTTGCTGGAGGTGAGGATCGCCAAGGTATATGATCAAGAGCAAGAGCTGATGGCGCAGGACTTGGAGCCTGGCTACACCTCTGAGGAGGACGAGGTGCCCGATGAGCAGCCCACGCAGGCCAGTGCGCAGCCGCCCGCGGCGCCCAAGGGGTGGGCGACGGGAGCTCCCTGGCGCACCTCCGCCACTGGGGCTGCCGCCCATGCTGATCCAGGACCAGTTGCTGCTTCAGGCGCTGGGCAAACGCCGAGAGGCATGTCCCGCCAGCTACTCACGGTCAAGAGGGAGCACACCTCTCAGCCCTCGCCCAGCAAGCAGGTGGAGACGGCGCCGGCGGAGTGCAGCAGGCCCGAGTTCTTCAACCAGGAGGTCGCCCAGGCCATCAGACAGCTCAACCAG